GGACAGGAATGCAAGAGACAAGATTTCTCCCTTGGTGGTACTTAGTAGCAAATGTTGATCCAGTCCAGACTTCAGAAAATTCAGAGTCCTTCTCTCGGCGTACTTTCTGAGATTAAATCTTCTAGCCTTGCACCAGGTAAAGTATGGTAGAAGATGGTAGACCTTGCCTGAGGTCGAGTTCCTGAGTGGAAACCTTGAAACCTTTCCTCTTTTGAAACAATGGCAATGGCTCTTTAATTTAAGAGGTTTGTTTTGCTGGGGGGAAAAATAAGGCTACTTTTTCTGCCAGTGACATCTCTATTAAAAGTGCACAGGACAGCACTAAAAAGACATTCTTCGTTGAACAGTATACACAGCAAGAGTTGTTTGCATTGTTGTTTGACAAACAAACATTTCAGCCAAAGAGTACTACTCATTGACAGGCAGGAGATGAGACAGACAAAGTCCCCTAATCTGTCAACACAATAGTGTACAGCAACAGGTATAAACTCTAAATATCCCATAACTAAACATATGCTTAGTCCATTCACCTAGTTTCTAGAAATTGCCAAGTCTTTGGTAAGTCTTTATGGCGTCAGCTTATACGAGCAAGGCGCACTATTAATCTTTCTCCCACGATTGGTTTCCCCTCAAAAGGGTTAACAAATACTGCAGAGGAGTACTCTGTGGTAAACAAGCACAGTATTAGGGTATTGGAATATGCCAATAAAGGGTCCATTGAAATAAAGCCACAATCCAAGACTACTTTGCCCCATCCATAGACATACTCCCATGGAGTCTTGTCCTGTATTAAAAAGGGGATGTATTGCAGGGACAAGTCTATAATTTTGCCACTTTTTTAGGTAATTGGTTCGACCTCATCTGGAGTACGCGGTCCAGTTCTGGTCACCAGTACTAAGAAAAGATGTCCTTGAGTTGGAAAAAGTCCAGCGGAGGGCAACCAAACTAATTAGGGGTATGGAGGACCAGAGCTACGAGACAAGGCTACTAAATTTAAACATGTTCACATTAGAGGTGAGGAGATTAAGGGGGGATATGATTTCCATGTACAAAATGTTCAATGGTGGTAGCAACATTAGCGATAAACTGTTTAAAATTAACTCGGTTACAAAAACTAGAGGCCATCACCTAAAATTGGTGGAAAAAAAATTCCAGCACAAGGGGCGAAGGGGGTTCTTCACAGTAAGATCAGTTAGGGTCTGGAACTCACTGCCACAGGCGGTGATTTCAGCAAATAATGTGGAATTGTTCAAGAAACTTTTGGACGATTTCTTAAAGGACCGTAATATACAGGGGTACAGGTAATATACAGGGGTACAGGTACTCCTAGAATGAGATCCTAATAGGTTGGACTTGATGGACTAATGTCTTTATTCAACCTCAAATACTATGTAACTATGAGTCATCAGGGACTGGCTCACAACAGAGGCTGTGCCACGGTTCCGGGCTCGTAAACTGGATCGTGGCTAACAAACTAATACATTAGGTGTCTAGAAAGCACTAGGTGTCTAGAGGTTTAGTTGGTATGGCCTCCGAGGCAGCACCAAGGACAAGCTAATTTGGATAACTGCATAACAGCTTAGTGGAACAATGAAAACTTGATTGAGGTAATAAATGCCAGTTAACCTATTCTCCAGACAGAAAAGACATCCATCCTTCTAGGGCACTAGAGAAAAAAAAACTAAACTGAAGCATGATGGTATTAGCAGCGATTATACCTGACTGGCTAACAGTTTGCCAGTGACCAATTCTGTCCTCTAGTCAGCAGAATAACCTAATTGTCTCAGAAACTCAACAGATCCTGTGTAACTTAAATGGGTAAAAAAATATGCTTTCTTGCAGACGAAGTAGCCCTCAAATTTTAGAGCTACACGGGCAGACGTAATTATCAAATAAGTACACAAAAAGCTTTACTTCACATTTAAAAAAAATAAAAAAAAACTCCTCACACAAAAAACAAATCTACTTAAAAACAAGAAAGGTTCTGGCACCTAGAGCCCATTTCACATATCAATGTCCACATAATCAGTTCCAGCTCAAAATTATAAATCCCTAATAGAGTCTCAATATATGCATATATGTTAAAAATAAGGTTTTGGCATACTAACTTGTATATAAAGTTTAGTATTTTAGAACACGAGAGGACTGTAATGACACACTAAGCACTGGATAGGCGTGATCTTGTGGACCATGGGATGTGGTAGATAAGTACCATTACTTCTTATATAACTGATTATATGCTGATGCACTTTGGAACGATAAATATGTGCTGTCGAATGTTCAGATACAAATACACAAGTTAATATACCAAGACCTTGTTAACCATCTGCTGGATGAGCGATGATGGAGACAGAGGTTTTTTCTGACATTTTTCACATTGCTTCTTACTGATATCCCCACAGGGGTGTGCATATGCAATTTTGGACATCAGCTATGAATTAAAAGAGGACTATAGCCACATATATAGATGTACATCTAATTGTTGGAAAGATATCTACAACATTAAGTGAAGGGCAGCTTTACAATATATATGGATTAACTAAGGAACTTTCTGCAAATTTTTTCTAAACTTCTCACAAGCATTATATCATTTCTTTATCGATTTTAGTGGGAGTGGAGCCGTGCACATGGATACATGAAGATGATACATGTGCCATAATATAAGGAAATTGTACTATATATGCATGAGATAATGGTCCGTTTCTTGTTTGCCAGTGTCCCACAATACAAACAAGATTTTTAGCATACATGCATATACTGCATGATATCAGTACAATAGTAGGAATTTAGAATGTTGCTGGAAGTGATTAAGTGGATATTGATATATGAAATGGGCTCTAGGTGCCAGAAGAAAGTTTTTTATTTTAAGTGGATATGTTCTTTGCGTGAGTTTTTTTTTTTTGGAATGAAATATGAAGTAAAGCTTTTTGTATAGTTGATATTTATTTGATTATTGTTATTTCTGCCCTGATATCTCTAAGGCCTGGTTCACACCTGAGCGTTTTACAGCGCGTTCCTACGCGCTGTAAAGCGCTCAACATGTGAAAACCAATAATTGCCTATGGGCATGGTTCCCACCTGGGCGTTTTACAGCACCCTACGCCCAAAGAAGTACAGGAGCTACTTTGGGGCATTTTTCCGCGCGTTTCCATTGGTATTCCCGAGTGTGGATCGGGGTTAACAAAACGGTACCCCGAGCCACACTCGGGAATACAGCGTACAGGTTTTACCTTGTCCACGATCCCCGCTGTGTCCTCCGGCGGCTGCCGACTTCCGTCCCTTGCGAGCGGCCGCCTCGCAGGGGGGCGGAGACGGCGGGAAGTTTGAAAGTGAAAAAAAATCTTTATTTTTATTTAAACACCTGCTGTCCGGCTGTTGTAATTAAAGGGCCGGACAGCGGCTTCTTGAATGTGGGCGTTCTTTAAACGTCCCATCCCGCTCGTGCCCGCCCGGGAATTCAGCCTGCAATGTAAACAGCCAGCGATGGCTGCTTACATACAAGCGTTCGGGCGTCTGTAGAGACGCCCGATCGCTTGTAATAAGCGTGCGGGTGTGCGCCCCCCCCAGTACCGGTAATAAAAAATTTAAAAAATGTTTCATAAAACATAAACATGCGTTGAGCGCGCTTAAGTGCGTAAACGACGATTGCATCCATTACGCCGCACATGTTACGTATCGCCTTTAAAGTGTCGCCTATGGCCAATTTTGGGTATGGTAGTTTTTGCGAGTTCGCGAACGCACGCAATTTGAAAGCTTAACATGTTTGGTGTCTATTTACCCGACGTGACCCTGACTTTTATATTTTGCCAAAAATTTGGGTAATAACAACTGTTTTCTAACATAACGTAGGGAAAACAGTTTTTTTCCCCAAATTTTCTGTACTTTTTTCATTATATAGTAAAAAATAAAAACCCCAGATGTAATTAAATACCACCAAAAAAAGCTCTATCTGTCCCCAAAAAATGGTATAAAATTGATTTCAGTAAAGCGTTGCATGACGGAATAAATGTCAGTCAAAGTACCGCAGCGCTGAATAATGAAAAATGGCCTGGACAGGAAGGGGGTGTAAACACCCCGGTCAGCAAGTGGTTAAAATAGAGAATAAAAATCATACCGCCAGTGAAACGCGCGTTTCACTGAACGGAAAAACGTGCTAAAAAACGCAAAAAAAATTAGCTGAAAAAATACGCTCAGGTGTGAATCCAGCCTAAAATTTGAGGGCTATTTTGTTTGGATGTATGCATTATGGAATTCTGGCAAAAAAATCAATAATACAATAAATTAAATTGATTGAAATAGAGCTAACTAATGAGTGGAGGGTGCCCATCAACTAAGAGCCCTCTATTTTATGCCTATAAAAATATGCTTTCCTTTAAACAAATACATGGCTGGACAGATTTCATTAACTTGGCTCTGCTTGCACTCTTTAGGATCAATGCACGCACCAAACTGAGGACAAGGTTTGGCCCTTCAGAAAAATGGCTATTCTACCCAGTCTTCACCTGGCATGCTCCAGGCAGACTTCTCATTGTCTATATGGCAAGATTCACATCCCGATCCCAATGAATGTAAGATGTGCCAAGGTAGTAAGCATTGTGCAGCCCAGGAACACCTAATATGAAATGCAAGCTGTGGGACAGTTAAACACAAAGTAATGAAGTATTAGGGTGACAGCCCCTCCACCAAACCCAGGTCAGCAATACCAGCTTGAATATTACTAACTGACTACTTCTCTTTAAGCTGCCAAACCAGATTTCACCAGCAGGAGGCCACATATAGGAAAGTGGTGTTCCAACTCCTGTCACAATCCCTGCATGTTGCTACAAAGGGAAGCTAAAAAGCATAAAATGACAGAAGTAGAACCACTTTGATATCAGACTCTTCAGCACAATTATACAACTGAGCTAAAACTGACACGGAAGGAGGATGGAGTATATGGCTGTATGATCTGAATGAAGAAAATGTTTAAATGCTGCCTATATTTAGCCTTTATTGCTCACCTGTATTGATCTCTGGAGAGAAATCCTCCTCATCAATCTTAAGATGGTCATTCTGTGCACGAAGTGCTGGATCTGACTCAACCACCACAATATTTAAATCTTCCTCCTAAAGAAATACACAAAGTATCATTTGAAAATAGTTTCCTCTATCAGTGAATCAGTTCATACATGCAGTCATACAGACACATCAGATCTGTAAATGTACCCTTAAAATGCAGTCAAAGTCCAGCATCAGTTTCTGTCAAGTCTGGTGAGTGAGGGCAGTGCACAAAAGAGCACAGAGTTTTTCAAGTGGATTTGTATCTTTTCACACAAGGAGCACTACGTGTGTGTTTTTGAAGTTACATAAAGCACACCTAGACTATTTATATATGCACTATTTGGATGCACTTTAGCATGGAAGTTTGGTGAATTAAATGGACATTTTTTTTATTATGGTAAAGTCTGGAAGTCAATAGGACACTTTTCTGTTAATGCACTTTATACTGTATATGTATGTTTTATCCATAGTTGATTTTATATAAGCGCAGTGTGATTGGGGTTTTCTTTATAAATGGGTTAGGCTTACACACACAGGGTGTCACTCTATAGCAGTAAATAGAGTTAGAGTCTAAGCCAATCACAGTATTGTAATCACAATACTGAAGTAGGCTACATTTAAGTTCCATGTAGGCTGTACAGCACTCTACAGTGTACGCAGTTCAACCTATATGTGTAAGTCTTGAGTCTTTAAAAAGTCCTATACCCCTGTACTTTATGCTCTCTGAGGAAAATATCTAATAGTGTTAGATTATCTATCAACACTCTCAGATAATATCACTACCTAGGGGAATGGAGTTCCACATTTTGTACTGCTCTTACAGTAGGGAACCCATTTCACAGTTTAAGCTTAAATAATATTTCCTCAAATCTGAAACTGTGGCCATGTTAGTAAAAACCTAACGATACTAATAATGTTTATCGGGTATTATTCATATAGGGATTATGTATGGATGTAAAGAACTGAAGTGATGATTGATTTTCTATATATGCATTTGTGCAGTTTGGGAATGACTTTTAAAGTCCAGGATTTTAGTTAAGGTTAGCAGGAAGGCGGGGACACTCCTCCCTCCATCCCCCTCTCTCCCCTTCTATTGGAGTTAAGAGTTTCAGATTTCAGCGGTGAGGTACCATATATCCCAAAGCCTGTCATGTTTTAAAAGGCTATTCATGGCAGATGGGCGGGACATTCTCACAAAGGAAAAAGGGACCTGTTTTCACATTCTGGCAGACTTACATTCTGACTCGATGCAGACACACACTAAAGTTTTACAAGAACATACTTATACATTTACATAACTATTTTTATATTTTGTTTCATGCCATTTATCTTGTAATCATTTGTAACTTTGTAATTAAACACATTTTTTGAGTTTTATGCAAGAACGGAAGCAATTTTCTCTTTTGAACTTCTTCCGCCCTATTTTTCAAGATAAAAAGAGTATGATATGAATAAAAAAAATAATTCATATTCTACAGGGCGCGTCTTCTTCAGACAGACCTCAGAGTCATAATTGTATTAGTTATTTTAATCACCTTTCATGTATATGTACATTGTGATCACATCCCCTCTTAACCTCCCTGGCGGTATTCCCGAGTGTAGCTCGGGGTTACTTTTCCATACCATAAGCGGTAACCCCGAGCTACACTCAGGAAAGCTGCATAGCATTTACTTACCTTGTCCCTCGAGCCGCGCTGTGTTCTGCGGCCATTGCCGGCTTCCGTCTTCCGTCGCTTGTGAGCGTACGCGTCGCAGGGGGGCGGAACCGGCGGGATATTTAAAAAAATTAATGAAAAAAAACGAATAAAACGACAAAGACGAAAAACATTCGAAAAAAAATAGACCGAAAAAATCATACCACCAGGGAGGTTAAGCAAGTGAAAAATTGCAACCTTAGAAAACGTTCCTGGTAGCTGAAGATACCTCCAGCATGTATCAAAGACCATTGGGTCATATGTGCGTATGTCACCGGGGCAACAGTACAAAACCAAAATAATTATTGAGTTTCACTCCTGTAACTCATTAGAAATAGTCATTTTGTGGGCAAAACTAAAGGCCTTCAGTCAGTCTATAGGATCCAAAGGCAAATGCATTTCTGACATTTTGCAATAAAACCTGGTAAAATTTTGAGAAGAAACAATTTATACAGGAACAAAAAGACATGCAAAGGTTTAGCTTTTTAAAGGAGAAGGGATTCAAAAGCAATATGTGGCCTAGTAAGAGATGCCATAGAGGAAAAAGATCATTGGAATTATGGATGCACCGATACCAATTTTTGAAGACCAAGTACAAGTACCGATACTTTTCCTCAAGTACTCGCCGATACCTATACCTTTTTTTTTTTTAGAGTCATGCGACAGTTTTCCTAAAACAATATAGACTAATGATTTTAGGACAGTAGTGGAGCGCCAGGGCCCAGTTGCAGCACCAACTACTTCGACCCTGGTAGTTCTGCCACTGACTCCAGGCTGTAGAGGAACTACAAATCCCAGCAATACATTATACAGAAATGCAGCATACCACTAGCGATAGAAGACTACAAACCCCAGCAATACTGAACACTGCAATGCAGAATACCACCAGCAATAGGGGACAACATATCCTAACAATACATTATACAGCAACGCAGAATACCCCCAGTGATGGAGGACTACAGATCCTAGCAATACATTATACAGCAATGCAGAATAACATCAGCTATAGGAGGACTACAAATCTCAGCAATACATTATACAGAATAATATGAAGCTACATATTATGTTGTTCACCAGGGCTGTGTGGCATCTTACCAGGGCTGTGCGGGGCCTCAGGAGGCTGTGCGGAGTCTGACCAGGCCTGTGCGAAATCTCAGGAGGATGTGCGCGATCTCACTAGGGCTGCATGCGTGTCTCACCATGGCTGTGCGGTCTCACCAGGGCTGCATGCGAATCTCAGCAGTGCTGTGCCGGCGGGTGCGGTGTCATCAGGGTTGCGCTGCCTCACCAGAACTGCGTGCGGGTCTCACCATGGCTGTGTGGTCTCACCGGTGCTGTGCGCTGTCACCGTTGAGAGCAATGTGGGTCTGTGCATGGCTGTGCGGTGCCACCAGGGCTGCGTGCGGTTCTCAAGTACCCATGACGAAGGGTGAAACACACATAAGGTGGAGTGTTTGAGACCGACAGTGGACAGGGGGTGCTGTTTTGATGCAGTGTTCTTATGGATGATTTTATACTGTTTTTATGGCAGTAATTTTTTTAATACAATTTTGTTTTCTTAATGGTGTGCACTATGGTGTCTTCTCTTGTCCGTTGTAAAATAAAAAGGTGTTTATTAGAATCTGCATTCGGGGTTGCTGGCATTTCCTTTGCCCGTTGTATAAAGAGTACCCGTTCATTCAGACCTTTGTTCAAAAGGTCTATCTCTGAGGTGAACTGCTTTCTTGGTGGAGATCACACTGGAGGGGACATTTCCCTGGGAGCATGCATTGTGTGAATTTGATCACGTTCATGTGGACACAGTTAATCACTTTTATTTGGACACTTTCATCACTTATATTTTTTATGTTATTTAGATTACTTTACTATACAGATACATATTCTTAAAGAAAAAAACTTGTATGTATGTTAAATCGATGAATTGATTGTCTCTTATAAATTCATGTATGGTGTTTTCTTGTATTTTAAAATATATTTGTTCATAATTTGTACATCAAAGTGGTGAGTTTGGATTACTAAAGAAGTAGCGCTGCATACTTAGTTAAGTTTTTAGGTCTGGTTTTAAACACTGGATTAATGCTGCTGCTGTATCACTTTTGGTTTTGGCGCAAGGTAACTGTGTGTAGGGTCTCAGCATGGCTGTGTGCACGTCTCAGCAAGGCTTTGCAGTGTCACCCGGGCTGCATGCACATCTCTGCAGGGCTTTGCGGGTTGGTGTTGTCTCCCCATGGCTGTGTCGGGTCTCCCCATGGCTACTCGGGCAGGTGCCGGCGGCAGGAAGGAGGCACCGAACCGGAGCTGTAAACAGACAGGTGCAGCGAGTTTAAAAACAAGGACCATAGGGCAGCCAAACCTGTTTAAAAATGTAAAGGGTCGCGATCAGCCTTTAGTATTGGGGCATTTTCACGAGCACTCGTGAAAATGCCCAGTATCAGCATCGATACCGAAATTGATGCATCCCTAATTGTTACGTTGATAACTGCAAGCGTTTAAACATTTGGTTTTTATAAAAAATATGAGACAGGAAGTCTACCAGGGGATGAATTTTGTGGTTTTGAACAGCATCAGAGAGTATGGGGTTGTCAGTGGCCTGCCATATAAAAAGTCTTGTTCAAAACATTGTTGGGGGAAAGTCAGGATTATAGAAGGGAGGTGTCAATGGCCCATGTCTAGTGGATAGAAATCCTCTTCTAACCATATGGTCCCATAACCTCAATGTAGCCATTTTGAAAGACAGAGCAGTCAATTTAGAATAAGCGCCTGGATTAAGCCACAGGAAAACAGTGAGGTTCCACAAGGCTATTTGTTCTTCCAAAGAGATTCACAATTTGTTTCCTCATTATGAAACAAATCGACTATCCTGTTGATGGATACAGCATTAATGATATTAATTCTGGTTTTTATTTGGCACTGTATAAAATTACAAATAGCCCAAATGAGAAGTAGGAACAAAGACTTCTGTGCATCGAGCTGGTATAGTCTGAAACAAAGTATTGTCATTGGTAACATGCCTATTTTAATAATATGAATTCTCCCTAGCCACAAGAATGTGGGCTTATCGTAGCTGAGGCAAGGAAGATTAATTTGTTGAAGGGGTAAGTAATTTAGAGTAGCCAGTGCAGAAAGATCCCTAGAGATAGAGATCTCCAGATATTTTATCACTGTGGGCTGCCAGAAGAACTAAAACAAGTTCCCGGGACTCTCCATGTGTGGTGATTCTCCATAACACTCACCTGATAGCACTTCATCGCCACGTGAAGGATCTTGACAATCAGGGCCGCCGCCGCAACCTTCGGGTTTTGGGCCTGCCGGAATCGGTGGAACCCGATCACCTCAGACAGGCCCTACAATCACTCTATAATTACCTCCTGG